GCACAGCCAATTATGCTCCTAATCACCTTAAGTGAGTTTACTTCAGCTTTGGCTAACATACGTGTCTTTCTTATTTTATTGAACAAATGGTAGGCTGTTTTCATGTGGTACTAGCAAAGATGGTGAATCACACATTGTAGAGTGGAATGAGAGTGAAGGGGCCGTAAAGCGGACATACCTCGGTCTTGGAAAACGGTCTGTTGGAGTGGTGCAATTTGACACAACGAAGAATCGATTCTTAGCTGCTGGAGATGAGTTTGCAATAAAATATTGGGACGTGGATAATGTAAACCTCTTGACCACTTGTGATGCGGATGGTGGTCTGCCGGTAACTGCTGACTTCGAACTCTTTTACACGCTAGTTTTGGAGAACCATTTTGTACACGGTAACAGCGTTCCTTTTATTCATCTTTCAGGCATCACCTTGCATTAGGTTTAATAAGGAAGGAATGTTATTGGCTGTATCAACTAGTGAAAATGGTGTTAAAGTACTTGCGAATTCCGAAGGTATTCTTCTGATGCGCTTCATGGAAAATCGTGCATCTGGAGCTGTTGCTAAGGTAAACTATTTAGGTATATAGAAGCAGACTTCAAGATGATCATATTATTATATTTTCGTCATTTATTGTACAGGTTCCTATGGTCGTGCCATTTTGTTCTTCTGGTTCAGCTGCAGGGACAAGCACAGCTACTTCTGTTGCTGCTCTGGTGAGTATTACCCCTATCAGTCTTTGAAAAAATACGAGTTCTTAGTAATTACCTCACCTGCATAATTGGTTTTTGGTTTTACGGAAGCTCTTAACAGATGTTTATGTTTGGAAACTTACATGAGTGTCTACAGAACGGGGATGGCAGGAATTTGCCAGATATAAAGCCTAAAATTTCTGATGATCTGGAAAAACCCAAGGTCTGGAAGTGGACTGAAATCAGCAAACCATCTCAGCTTCGTTCCTTGAGGCTTCCCGATAGTTTATTGTCAGTAAGGGTAAGAATTAGCCAAGTATCTTCAAAGGAATATATTGTATCTTTGTTCATATGAGGTCGGTCTTTTCAGCATCCTTTATCAAATTTAGAGGGATTTAAAATTTTAAGAAACCCAAAGTGAATCTGTTTCCAAATCTTTTTGTTGGTTCTGGGTCTGTGGAGATTGTTCCTAGAGCTGCCTCTCATACGCTGATTGTGGTTTCATAAGCGTCTGTTTCAGAAAAGTAACTATTAATTGAACTTTTTAAAACTTAAGACGCGATTAAAAGCTTTTTAATTTGTATTTTCTGAGTGGATAGTCACATCTACTTTGATGTTATATTGCATTCTACTGACTCATATTTGTGGAATCATATGTTCAATAATATATCATATTGCACTTGGATGTATCTGGTGTAGTAACTAAATCATTAATTTCCTTTCTGCGGTGTGTACATTTGTGAGTATTAACATTTATAGATAGACTGTAATTTCATTGCTTCCTTATATCATTCAATTCAGATTATTAGGTTGATTTACACAAATTCTGGAGATGCTATATTAGCTTTAGCGTATAATGCTGTTCATAAACTCTGGAAATGGCACAGAAATGAGAGGAATGTTACGGGAAAGGTTTGATAATTTTCATTGAGGTCATGTTTTTTATGGACCCTTACCATTTTGTTGTAATAATGCTTTCCTTCTGTAGGCGACAACTGTTGAACCACCTCAACTTTGGCAACCTCCTAGTGGAATCTTAATGACAAACGATATAAGCAATGCAAACCTCGAGGAGTCTGTCCCATGCTTTGCACTTTCAAAAAAAGATTCATATGTTATGTCGGCATCGGGAGGGGAAATTTCCTTGTTCAATATGATGACATTCAAGGTGATGTATTATATGCGGGTTAAAAACACTCCTAGTCTCTCAACTTAAAGTGAAGTCTCATGTTTGTCACAACATTTATTTTGTTTTGAAGTCGTCATCAAAGATCTCTTTATTTTTAGATTTGTCATGTCCAACGTGGAAAACGGAAATTTTATGTGGCATTTACATTGTGACCCTTTCACGTCATCTGTTATGTTAAAAGAACTAAGGGATTCTTAATTGAAAGAAAAAGGTTAATTTCTCTGTCTATTTTTAAATAAAACAAAGTTTGATGAGTAATGTGAGACTTTGCTATGAGTTGAGTGACTAACAGTGTAGTTTATCCTATTGTATGTTGTAAAATATAATTCTTTAATGTTTACGTATTTTGCCGTTTTGCACGTATAGATCCTTATACTTCTCCTTGCAGACAATGACGTCATTCATGCCGCCTCCACCGGCATCCACATATATTGCCTTTCATCCTCTGGACAATAATATTATTGCTATCGGCACGGAAGATTCCTCTATACAAATTTACAATGTTCGCTTTGACGAGGTCTTTCCATGAACTGAAACTAAATTACTACCCAGGACATGAGTTAACTTTTACGCAAATTTTTTTCTTCCTCAATTGATTATTCTGTTGAACAGTTCAAAAGTAAGCTCAAAGGTCATCTGAAGAGAGTTACTGGCCTTGCTTTCTCAAACGTTCTAAATGTTCTCGTGTCATCGGGGGCCGATGCTCAGGTAAGTTCCGTGACCCCAAGAAATCGGAATCAAAGTAGTTACTCATTGTAGTAAAAACACTGTTACTCACCTTAACTAGTAGCATTGTTTCATTTGGTCACCTGAAATTTCTTATTTTTCCATACTAGTTGTTGAACTTTCTTTTTTGCTTCAGTTTAGTTATTCTTTGCCTACTTTGTTCCAGCTATGTGTTTGGAGTCTAGATGGGTGGGAGAAAAAGGCAAGTTCATTCTTGCAGATTCCTCCTGGGCGTACGCCAAATCCTATGGCACAGACACGTGTTCAGTTTCACCAGGATCAGACTCAGGTATTGGTTGTTCACGAGACACAGATAGCAATCTACGATGGATGGAAACTTGGATGCATCGAGCAGGTGCGAAATAAACTTGTCGGCCGTTATCTTCTTCTTAGTATTCTGTTTGATATTCTGATTTTTTGGTCGCAGGTTGAATGCATAATCAACGTATGTTTGATAATTATGGTCTGTGCATTGAACATTGCATGCTTGAAATAGTGCACAAGTACTCAAATGAACATGCTATCTGTTATTGATAGGATTGAACTGATGTCAATCACAAAAATTTGATGCATAATCCGAACTCATATCGTTGTGTTTGAAAGGAAAGAGGAAGTTGGGTGGGTGACAATGAAACTAACTAGCAGTTTGTGACTTGAAAAAGGAATATAAAGAACCTAGAATCTAGGAAAACTGAAATTTCTAAACTCACAGAACTGTCTTGGTTGTGGCAGTGGATTCCTCCAGAATCAAGTGCTGCAATTGCAGATGCTACGTATTCATGCAACAGCCAGTCAGTCTATGCAAGCTTTGAAGATGGGAGCGTGAGCGTTTTCACTGCTATGGGACTGAAACTAAGGTGTCTGATCAATGCAACTGCCTATTTGCCTTCCAGTATGAGGTATATTTGACATTGACCTTAGCAAATATGCAAGTACTTTTAACATGTTTGGCATGCTCGACTAGACGGTAGTGGGTAGAGTTGATGAAGAAAAAGAAGTTGAAACCTTTTTATTGTACCACAAGTACTATCCAATACTGCGTTCCAATCACGCCCTTTATGTTCTCCCTATCTTCTCTAATGGTGCCTTATTTATTCAT